CTCTACCTAAAGCACCTTTATTTCCGGGGAAAAATATTCTCATAAAAGCTGAACAGTATCTTTATTAAGTCATTTTCGGACTTCTTTCCTCCTCACCTCTTTTGATGCTTACATAACGTAGCCTGCTGATCATAGTAAGGTGGGTCTGGCTGTTCTTTTCTCTTGCTTTCTTGCTGTTCCCTATTTCTAATATAAATTTGGAAAAATACTAAATGAAAAAATCCTACAATATGTGTAATTATCAATTGTGCAGATTCTTTGCTGTGTATAATTTGCCTGCATTACTATCTCTAAGCCTCAGCTGTCTGTCATAGAATCCTGGAAAAATGAGGCTGGAAGGGACCCTCTCAGAAGGTCATATAGTTATAAACCCCCTGCTTGAAGCAGGATTGTCCCTGTCTGAACCATTCAGGTCAAGTGTTGGTCTAACCTCAGCCAACATCCATGAGTTCTCAGATTTCCCAGGACTTTGCAGTTACCTCAGTAATAGTCAATTCCTAGACTATCCTAGGATGAGTCTCATCTGGCCCTGCAAACTTAAAAATACTTTAACACTTAGCCACCCCTGCTCCTCACCCCCCAAAAGCAACCCAGCAACAAAAAAACCCTTCCACTACTCTAAGTAATCTGTAACCTTTTCTTTCCCTATGTATCTTCTCCCCTATGTTTGCTGCCAGCTGTTCTTGTCATTTGATAGTTGATGTTATTCATGAAGACTGAAATTAAAAAGTGATTAAATATTTCAGCCTTCTTTGTATCTTCCATTATTAGATTGGTCTCCCCATTCAGGAAGGGAATAATGCTTTCCTTTGTCTTCCTCTTATTTCTAATGCATTTGTAGAATGCTTTTTTCTAATTACCTTTTACTTGCCTTGCTAGTTGTATCTCAGTTCATGCCTTTGCCTTCTTGATTTTTCTCTCTGTATGCCAACATGGTATACTCTTTTTTTACTTCACATTAGTAATGTGGCTGAGTTTTTTCACTTCTTGTAAGAATCCTTTTTTGAGTATCAGCTAATTGCCAGGCCAGTCTCATGCTACACTTCCCATCCTTTCTTTGCTTTGGGATGATCTTATCTTGTGCCCTTAGTATGGTCTCTTTTTAGATATAACAGCTCTCCTGGACTCCTTTTCCCCATGGACTTAGATTGTTAAGCCCTTTGAGCAAGGATTGCCTTTCTGTGCATGCTTAGCAGGGTTGCCAGTCCAAAAATTTCTTTTTTATTTTTCCATAGTTTCATAGCTGTTAAGGGCTGGAAGGGATCTTACAAATCATCAGGCCCAGCCCCCCTGCACTTGGGCAAGAAAGACTGCTGGGATCAGATGACCCCAGCAAGATGGGCGTCGAGACGTTTTTTGAAGATCGCCAGGGTGGGTGACTGCACCACTTCTGGGGGAGCCTGTTCTAAACCCTCGGCACTTGACTTGGAAAGACGTTTTTCCTTATGTCTAGTCTGATGTGATCTTCAATCAGTTTGTGCCCATTATTTCTTGCCCTCCCCTGGGAGGCCGTGGCAAATAGACGTTCCCCCAAGTCCTGATGTATGCTCCTGATATACTTATAGGCTTCCACCAAGTCTCCTCCTGAGTGTTCTCTTCTCCAGGCTTGAACAGTCCTGAGTGTCTCAGCCTCTCCTCATATGACCTGGTCTCTAGGCCTGTAATCATGAATGTGACCCTTGTTTTTACTGTCTCAAGCTTCTTCACATGCTTCCTGAAGTGAGGTGCCCAGAACTGGATGCAGTACTCTAGCTGTGGTCTCACCAAGGCTGAGCAGAGCAGGAGGATGACAGGCAGTATATTTGCCGGCAGTTGGCAACACTCGTGCTCAGTGTCTAAGATGAAAAAACCAGTCTCAATTTTAATCCATTGTTGTTTCCATTATATAGTATTATGATTTATTATTAAATACTTGTTTCATGACCAATAAATGTTGTTAAAGTAAATAAGATAATTCATTTATCAATAAAAAGTACATTTCTTGGCTCTAACTTTTTCTCCTAATAAAAATATTACCTGCTGCAGCAGAAATCTCTAGGGTGGAACATTTAAACAAAAGGAACAATGTCAGATATTTTGTTTTCCCTTAATACACTATCAAGATAACATAACATTGCTTGAATTAAGGTGGTCTTTGCAGGTTACATTAGGCATGTACATATCATTTAAAAATATTAGTTTAACCTCCTCTAATTATATCAGTTAAACAATTAACTGATAACACAGCAGCTCAGAAACAGCTGCTGCTGGGAGCTGCTCCCAGATCCCTTTGACTGGGGGAAGGGGGTGAGAAGGCAGGCCCAGCCAGACAGAGCCCAGGTAAAACCTCCAGTGGGAGGGAGGGAGCACCTGTGAACCAGCAGCTAAGTGCTTAATTGATGAGTCATTAAGCTGTTCCATGTTCTCCTCTTGGGCTATGGGTATTAGTCCCCCCCCTCTCGCTCCTCCCTCTCTTTCCCCCTGCCTGCCCTGCTTCCTCCTAATTCCTGCTGGGGCACTGTATGCCTTCGTTTCCCCCTTTACTGCCAGACTGTGCCCACCCCAACCTAAAGCATAACTGGTCATTACTACTAGGATTCTTTTTGCCAGAGCCTTCACAGGATTGACACGACAAATTGTCTGAGATGGTATCAAATGAAGTTTAATAGTAACCCCTAGACAATATTACAGGTTTTCTCCCCATAATACAACCTGGCAAGTGGCTCTTTAGATGTTACAGCAGCAGCCTTTGGGGGTACCAGGCCTCTGGTCCTTTGCTGGGTGTGTGGGATGTTAGTTTCTGGATTCCTTGTTGTTCGAACGAGAATTCCAATGTTGCTCCCATCTCAGCAGGGTGGCAACACAACGGACACGGTCTCTCTTTGTTTGTCCACTACTTCTGTTATTCTTTCATCCCAAATTGTCCAATCCCCTGGCTCCATGCCAAACCTTCCTTATATAGTGCACCAATCCCCTGGCACTGCCAGGCACATCCTTTCTAGGGAGAGTCCTGTGCCTTGCTTACTAGGGCTGTGTGAAACAGCGCTGTTTCATTTCAACTTCTGTTTCACCCTGTTAAAGGGACAGTGTTTTGTTTTGCTGTTCCGAAGCACTGTTCCATTTTGTTTCTTCAAAACTCTTTCGCTGTTTTGCCCATAGGCTATAATGGGGAATTATGAAAATGCCTATAACTTTGTCATTTCTTGCCTGATTCAGATGAACATTGCAGGGATGGAAGCCCCTTCTGAGGGCATGAAGAATGATAAGTTCCAAGGAGATAGGTGCAGGGATTTCTGGGAAACTGCACCTCAAACTCTTCAAAGCAAAACTCGTATCACTTGCTGGCAGTGGCAGCCTACTGTCATCCGGCTCGTAGACCCAGGGGTCCACGCCCCGCAGGAAGAATCTGGCACAGCCCTGCAGCCCCTCTGGGGAGCACGGGCCCCTGGATCTGTGCACAGGATGACAGCAGGCTGCTGCCGCCAGTTGGGGCCAGTGGCAGCACCAGTCTTCCCAGTGCTTGGCCTGGGCTGCCCCCAGCACCAGTCCCAGCTGGCAGTGGCAGCCTGCTGTCACCCTGTGTGCAGATCTAGGGGCCTGTGCCCCCCTGAAAGAATCCAGCACAGCCCAGCAGCCCTCCCAGAGGGCACGGACCCCTGAATCTGTGTGCAGGGTTTCATTGAGCTGCTGCTGCCGGCTGGGGAAATAGTCCAGAGCCACCTCAGTCACCAGCTGGCAGAAGTAGTCTGTTGTCATCATGCATCATCTGGGGGCCCACACCCCCCAGAAAGAGCTGGGGGAAGTGATCAGAGAGCTTTGAAAAAGATTGGGGAGCTGGGAAATCCAACTGGGAACTGGGGGGGATGTGCAGGGACTTGAACATTTTCCCAGTCCCTGGTTCAATTCCCCAGCTCTCTGATCATGTCCCCAGCTCTTCCGGGGGGTGTAGGCCCCCATATCTGTGCGCTAGGTTCAGCAGGCTGCTGCTGCAGTTTCAGCGGCAGCCTGCTGACACCCTGCATGCAGATCAGGAGCAGGCGCCCCCTAGGAAGAGCTGGGGACATGATCAGAGAGCTGGGGGAAGTGATTAGAGAGCTGGGGAATTGAACAGGGAGCTAGATGTCCATATCATAATGGTCCTTCCCCGCTCTTCTGTCCTCTCTCTCCTTAGTTTCTGTTTAGCTGCAAGTAAGCCCGGCTTCGAAACTTGAAACATTTCAAAACTTTCTAAACATTTAAAGTGCCCTTGTTTCATTTCGAAGCCTTTTGTTTCATTTTGATTTTGCTGTTTCAAGCTCGAAATGTGTCAAAATAGCTTTGAAACGAAACACCGGGTGAAATTTCGCACAGCCCTATTGCTCACCTAGCGCCCAATTGCAGCATTCGCGTCTCCCAGTGCCACAGGAGGTGCTCTGTTCTTTTTTGTTGTTTAGTTCTGGGAAGGCCTGGACTACTGCTAAAAAGCCTTGGCATAACTCAGTTTACCAGTTGAACTGCTAAGCTAACTGATTTTCACTGCACTTATTGGTTAAACAATTAATTATTTAACCATTCATGTCCCTAGTTTACACTTTTCTAACTACAGTAAAAGTTCTGGTAACCAACATCTTACAAGCTGGCACGCTCAATTTGCCGGCATGCCAGCTTGTAAGATAAAGTGAAACTGGAAGTGCCGGCTGTGGTATTTCTGGTTTCTCTGAGCCCCAGTGGCCTGGGGCAAAGCAGCCTGTGCTGCTGAGCCCCCGTGGCCCGGGGGCATAACAAGCTGTGTGGGGCCCACCGGGGCCTGCCTCCCTGTCCTGTGGGGCCCGCAGTAGGGGCAGCGATGTAGTGGGAGGGGCAGCGGGACGCCCCAGACGTGGCGGGAGAAGTGGCGGCCCAGGCCACTCAGTTAACCGGCATATTTTGTTATCCAGCATCCCCCATTCCTGGGGGATACCAGATTACAGCTTTTACTGTACTTTAAATCCTTAACCCTAATAGTAAAACTTGCTTACTTATTCTTTTGTTACCTTTGCTAGGAGATCCATGCACTATCTCATCTCAGATGGAACTGGAAGAAGCCTTTCGTCTGTATTGTCAGCGTAGAGATGAAGGGCTCATTATTCACGGTAAGCACTATGCAATTTGAGAGTTGTCCCTTAACTTCTTGTGAAGAATATAGCAGTGCAGTAGATATGAAATGTGGCACAATGTTTGCTTATCTAGTCTAGTATCCAGTTGCTGGCTGTGGTCTTTACTAGCTTTGAAGAAGCCACTTTCTCACCTACTAGTCTCCCTTCTCTTTACTGAATTAAATTTGGGGGGAGATCGGGGGGACTTCTTCCAGATCACTCTATCAATCATCTTGGCTTCTAAACCATGTTGATGGACATCCTTTGTATGCTTGTAATCTAATGTTGCCACAGAAGTTTATCCCTGCTCCTGCATATAGTTTGAAAGCCTGCAAAACAATAATGAACTTACTTCCTTATGGAGCAGAAAGATTTAAAGAGCTGTGAGGGTGATAGCTGCTCAGTTATAAAAGTCACAGTCTGTTTTTTCTTAATTCAGTTAATCTGATAAAAATGAAAACCGTTAATTGAGTAGCTAAAAAAAAAAAATGGGATTGAACAACTGTCACAGAAATAAAAAAAATATATATTATTTTTTCCAAACTGAATTTTTGAGAAATGAATGGCATTTTAGTCGAGTAGAATAGAAACAAGTCTGGGAAAAAGTAATTTAGGAATATGAAGAGGTTTAAGCAGTTGCTTTGTCTCTCGTACTGGAAAAGGATGTAATCTTTGGAGCATGATCAGTTGTGTCATGGCACAGCCGATCTCCTTCATTAACATCTACAGATGACATTGGGTCTGTTGGCCCACAAAGTCAGGTCCCTGCCATTCCTGTGGCCTCAGGGATCCGGTCCTGCAGGAAAAAGCCCTAGGTGCTTCCCCTAACTTGGGATGCATGTCTGCAAGTGAGGGAGACTTTCTACTTGTAGAGGCATCAGGCCATCACAGTATGGGGGAAACTCCTCTTCAGGGAATTTTTGTTGCATGTGACTGGTAGTACCGGGGAGTAACTCTCGTAGCATTCCATGCTTCGCACTTAAAGATGCAACCCCTGTATTGGGATGCGGCAGTACAATATGGGCATGGGGGAAATCTCTTTGCAGGGATTCCCCCTGTGTGTGTCTGTAAGTGCAGAGGGGGCAACTCCTAGAGGGGTTCCCTCTTCCACTTTTGCAGAATGTGCCAGGGAGGAGAAACATGTAGTGAATGAATCCCATGCAGGAGGATTCCCTGGGTATATGTCATGCAGGTGTGGAGGGCAGAGTTTCCATAAGAGTTTTCCCCTCCGTGCTAGCAAATGGCACCGCAACCTGGGATGTGGCAACATAAAATGTATGGCAGGTCAGGGCGTGGTCTCCAAGCATGGATGGTGTAGAACCGTTATGGGAGTCCCCTCTACCCTGTGCTTGCAGACATGTCCTGGGAGTCCTGTGTGTCAGGATGAGGCCCCAAGAGCTCCTGCCCAGTGTGGCACTCTCCTGCCATAAACAAATAGACGTTGGCTGCAGATATGCAGCATAAATTATGATTTTGGTCATTGTCATTAAAAAATTTAGGCATTTGAGTCACGTCAAAGTCCTAATGTGTCTGTTCACTTCAGTTTTATGCTGCTAGAAACATTTTTATGGCAGCGTAAAGGCAACATCTGTTTTCAGCCTAAATGTTCTTATTGTATCCCAATATCCCAAATCATGTAACTGGATCTACATGCATGTTTTCATGTACCTATGGGGAACCCCATTCAAGAAAGAGAAGCTTATTGTGGGTTCCAGAATTGGAGTGTGTAGATCCAATTGCAGGACTTAGGTGCTTTTTACTTACGTTAGCCAACTCAATGACACCTTTTTTAAAAAAAGGAAAAAAAGATTTACTGGGGCAAGCCGACTTATTCCGTAATCAGCTGGTTTGCATAGCTGATCTCTGATGCTTCATAACTCCCATAAAATAGTTGTTTTTGAACTGAGCTCTTTTGATTGTACTAGTACCATCTTCTCTGGCAAATTTCCAGCCATATAGCTTCATTTACTCTGGCAAAAATATCTTTAGCTATTAGGTCTCTGTTTCAGCTGGGGCTTTTATTTAAAAAAATAATTTGCTCCCATTTCAAAGATTAATTATAAAAGCTTTTGTCAACTTCAGTTTTTTTTTACTCAGATCTACACCTCAAATTATATAAATGAATAATGCATTTATTCTTTGTGTCTTTTTGTCATTGTTCAAAGTAGCTCAATTGTTACGTTTCCACTAGTACATTCTTAATGCAAACCATGCTAGTTAGGCTGTACTCGATTTTCTATTTTTCAAGATTCCTGAATCACTTGCATTACCTTCCTCTCTTGCGGTTTTTAAAGCACCTGCCCTACAATCTTGATTTTAATGGGATCTGAAAGGAGACTTTTTGGTAAAAGAGCACAAGTCTTTAGATTCAGGAAATCTAGGCTCTGTTTCTAACTTTCAGAAGCTTATTGTCTGTTTGAAATGCAAAGCAGGGATAATTCTACTTCATTAACTCATAAGGTTGTGGTAAGATTATTAATGTTCATATATTACTTTGATATCCTTGAATGAAAACTATACAGCAATTGGATACAAGGCCTGCTGAAATCAATTGGAGACTTTTGACTGGCTTTAGTGAAACTTAAATCTTGAGCGTACAGTGCTATTGATGTAATGATGAGGCCTGTGATATTGGATCAATAAGCAGCTGATTTCCAGACATTAGGTTGCTAAAACTGAATTCAAGAATAATGTAAATTACAATAGTTGCGGTACTTTAATACGGTAATAAATATCTTCAATACCCAAAATACAATATTTTGTTTTAGTTTTCCCTAGCATTCCAGAGAAACCAGGCATGCCTTGTCCGGGAGAAGACAGTGAGTACTTGAAGTTTACCAAAGGGTCTTTTTAGAGCTTTAATGTTTATTTTATTGCTTTTGTCCATTTTTATATGTAATGTAAAAGCTACTTGTACAAAAGACAATAACTTAAGAGATATAGCTATATTTATTTTTCTATGCAGAATATAAAATTTATGTAAAATCTAGAATGTTTTGTATTACAGTTAAAAGTTATGTTTATAAAATAAAAAAGTTAAACCAATAGTCTGACAGCATTTCAGTGCCACTCAGAATTATCACCGATTCTCCATAAGGTTGGACTTAAGCAAAGCAAATTAATAGTCAAATAGATTGACGCCATTGCTTACAGACAAACTTTGTATCTTAAGAGCTAGGGAATTATCTAATGGACTTATCTAAGAAGATAAGTCAAATTTTCAGACTTATTCATAAATGCAAGGGCTGTCATTTTGATAGCAGGAATGTATTTTGAATAATTATTTTTCATAATTATTTTATGGACTTGACTGTGCTGAGAAATACCAAATGTATCAGATAACATGAATAATTGGTAGGAAACATTCCTGTCTTCATGAAAAATATTCTGTAAATAAATCTTTCAAAGCTTTGAGGTGTTGCTGTTACTGCTTGATATTTTCATAGTTAGAAAAAATATCTCGGATATTGTGGTGGGGCAACTACTGGTGCATCTTACTTTAGTTATTTGGTGTAAATTTGGTATGTATGAAAGTAACTATACTTCAACATTTACTCTGCAAATTGATGGGATAAGTCCAGTAATAGACATTTCTGAAAAATAAAATGAACTTTTTTTACTCGTGTTTCAATCCAGTAATATAAGGCAATATTGTGACTGATGTGAAATGAGATCTTTTAACATAGGGCTACAATTCATGAATGAGGTAACTGTATACAGTTGGCAAAAATTAAAATAATATAGACCATTTATATTTACTTCTCTGATGGGGACTTTTGAAAAGCTTTTTACTGTACTAATTTACTGTAATCTGTTAACTTTCCATTGAGCTGTAGAAAATGGAGCAAGGTAGAACAAATACCATACTCACTTAAATGTAAGACTGTTTTCCTCCCCAGTTCACATGGGGTGGGATGAAAAGCTCCCATCTTACATTTGCATACCAGATCCCCCTCCCCACTTCATTAAATACATTGTCTAACATTAAACTGTTGCTGGAAGCCACATGTGCTCAGTCATGGAAACCAACTATGAGGTTGATTGATTGCAGCCTATGCTGCGTATGCCCATAAAACACATGGCCTATATTGGGCCAACACACTGGGAACCTGCTAGAAGACTAAGTTAGTGCAACCCGTATGAATAAGATATAGTGCCCATTGTGCTCAGTCCCCCTCAGCACTGACTCTTTTTCCAAGTCATAGTGAACCACTACATCAAATACATTTCCACTTCCTCTTCACCCGCACAGTTAAGCAGTGCCTTTTTTTTTTCCTGTTTCCAGTTATTCCTGTTTCTTCATCATCCTTAAATGTCTGGCAAACATCACCAAACTTCTATATAGATGAGAGGCGTTGTTGTCTCCTCTCTTGGCCTGTCTCAAGTGATTAGTGTGGCCCCACCTTTCATGGGTGGCAGTGGACCAGGCAGCCCC